ATTTATCTTTTGGTGGGAGTTTAAAGACTTGTCTCTGCATTCCAATGACCTAAAGGTTCCAAATTGTGCGCCTATTCACTGCACAGTTTGGTGTCGTAATGTATTTGAATTCAATGGAAAACTACTAGTTTGATCATTTATCAGTTTTATGTAAAAAAAAACTAATAAATTGTTTCTTGTCCATCAGCTTGTTGATGTTGTTTTGACTTTTCACTACAAGTTTTTTGGTACCGGTCTTCAAGTTTCTTGGAGAATTCTGAAATTTTTGAGAAATTCCGAATGAAGAAGGATATTTTTTAAGATCATTTATCTACGAGGGATAGGACCATCATACGAGCTGTACCGCTTCTCACGGAGAACTACCGTTGGACCACTGCTCAAGAACTGCGTGCAATTGTTTGACTATTTTCTGAGCTGCGTAATGTTGCGTCACTCTCAAGAAACGAGCAGGGATCAAACTGGGCTTCGGACATCCGACCTTTCGATTGAGAGGCGGAGGCGCAACCACTTCACTTCCCAAATCGTATCCTTGCACACAGCAAGGGTATTGAGATCGTACTTACTCAACCAACATGACTAGCTTTGGAATGAATTTTTTAGCCCATTGTCTCAGATACCCAACGAACAGATTCAACCAGGAGATATGGGCGCTCATAATCCAAACAAACTTCCGGTGTGGCTTGCTTAGTTTCTCGCTGCATCTTTTTTTAGAGATCATTGATAAAAACCGCTTTTTGTTTTTTGTTTTTTTTTGTTTTTAGACTTTTTTTTAAAGCCAGTACCCGGGTCGAGATCCCGCTCAAAAAACCGCTCAAGATATGAGCGGTTTGAGCGGTTGTTCAGCAAGATTTGAGCGGTTTGAGCGGCTTGGGCGTTTTTTTTTGGAAAAACCGCTCAAACCGCTCAAACCTTGCTTAAAAAACCGCTCAAAAACCGCTCATTTCTTGCGGTGATTTTTGAACGGTTTTTCAAGCAAGATTTGAGCGGTTTTTGAGTGGTCTTATAAAGAAAACCGATTAAAACCAACAAAAAGGCCTGGAAAGGTAATGTGACCCCGGGTTGACATCCATAAACCGAAAATGCTTATTTTAAATTTCCCCACACCGAAAAAGCTTATCATACAATTGCCTGCATCAAATGTATGGAAAAATGCTAATCATACAATTTTCATACAATTTCAAAAAACTGGAAAATATGTAAGATTTGAGCGGTTTGAGCGGTTTTTTAGAAAATTACGCTCAAAATCTTGCTTCAAAATGAGCGGTTTTCTTAGACAATTACGCTCAAAATCTTGCTTCAAAATGAGCGGTTTTAGCGGTTTTGGAACGGTTTATCTAAAAAAAAAAACGCTCAAAAACCGCGCAAGATTTAAACGGTTTTGAGCGGTTTATCTAAAAAAACCGCTAAAAAACCGCTCAAATCTTGCGTGGTTTTTGAGCGGTTTTTTTAGATAAACCGCTTAAAACCGTTCAAATCTTGCGCTCAAACCGCTCATTTTGAATCAAGATTTTGAGCGTAATTGTTTAAAAAAACCGCTCAAACCGCTCAAATCTTGCTTCAAATTAGGTGAAAAATCTCGACTCGGGTAATATATAGGCATAATGTTTTTTTTCTTTAAAAAAATGAACTGACATGGGTAAAATTGACTGCGTGCTAGTCTCGCTCTGGAAGTGTTTGCTTGCACTTGACTGAAATACAGATGTCATCGCTGCTCAAATAATTTTCTACCTCCTTCAATACGCAAAATAAACATACTTGGCAAATTATCGGCACTCATTAATCATTCCAATTTGACTTGAGGCTAAAAGCAACTGTTTATTTAACTCTTATCAAATGTTGAGACTTGCAAAAAAATTAGAAGCACAAATTTTATCATTTATCTCAGTTTTTTCGATTAAAATTTCTTCGAGATCAGTTATTCGAAACGATCAGGGCTTTCCCCTCAAATGCGATCAGTCTTCTTCATTTTAACTCCGCATTAGTACATTCAATGCTAAAACAATTGGAAAAATATGGTGGTTTAAAAATGGCCAATCGGGCTGATTTGAGACAATCAACGGGAGAGTTATATCGTGCTGCTAATCTATAAGCGGCCATTTAAACCGCTCATAAGTCAATCCACATTGAATTAGGCAAAATATTTGGTATTAATGGTAAGTTAATTGATGTCTAACATTTTAGAAATGACATAGCTTGTGTGGGAGTCTTCAAAAAAATCAAAAAACAAATCCAATTTCTTTTCTTTTTTATTCAAAAAATTTCATCGTTGATCCTGATATGAGCATACTTGTTGAAGTTTGGTTGTTCCAATTTTAAAAAAAAAGTAACAGAGTATTTGAGCTCTGGTGGTTTTTTGTCCAAATTTTTCACCTTTCAACTTTTCTCCTTTTTTCCTCTAACAAAAGGTATTGAAGCCCTGAGCAAAAAGTATTGTTGTCCCGGGAAGATTTTGTTGGAAAAAATTACTTCAATTGAGATCCTCTTTTTTTAAATGGCAATTTGAAGATTGTTACTTTGGCCCATTTGAGACACTTATCGCGCTATATTTTACGTGCTACTAATGAGTGAGTGACTATCTAAACCATCTACAAAAAAACTTCAAATTGAAGAAATTCATCCTATTTTCCTTATTTAATACTTTGCTATAAAAAATATATATCATTTTGTACTTAACATAGTCTGTGGGGTGATGGTTTTGAGATAAAAATCGACAATTTTTTTTTTGTTTTTTTACTTTATGAAAACTTCATTTTATGAAAGTCTTTTTTGCTATTTATTCTCCACTGACTTTATAATGAAATATTTGCGTTGCCACATATTCTAGACTTCTGCACAGCTCCGTCTAGAATTTTGAAGACATTCTTTGCTTTTCTGAAATCCACAAGTGAAGTAACTACGCCCCATTGAATTATTCTCGCTGATGAAAATATAACCACAGATTATACAAAATTATTTTATGAAATTTTGGCCTTGATCTTTTCTTGAAATAAGTTGATAATTTCCAAGCCCAAAAACCATTTCACTTGAATTCCTTGCTCCTTATCTGAATCTATTTTCGTGGTACCTACCCAATAAAAAACTTTCAGAATCGACTTGCTCATTTTTTAGTTCTGTAGTACTTTTTTTCGAACTTCAATCCCAGTCTTCATTTTCAGTTGTGGATGCATCTGTTGCTGCTAGTGTTTCTGCTAGTTAATGTCTCTTAAAACTAAAATATATTTAATTTTTGCACTTGGCTGAAATACAGATGTGATCTCTGCTCTAATAACTTTTACTACTTTCAATAGACGAAATAAACATGTGTGACATTTTGTCGGCACTCATACATTGTTCCATTTTGCAATGAGGCTTAAAAGAATTGGTTTTCTAACTCTTATCAAATGTTAAGACTTACAAGAAATCAATTTTGCACTTGACTGAAATTCAGATGTCATCGCTGGTCAAATAATTTTTTACTACTTTCAATACGAAAAATAAACCTGCGTGGAAAATTACCAGAACTCATAAAATGTTTCATTGTGAATTGACTCCACAAATGATTGGTTTCTTAACTTTTATCAAAAATTTGCAGTACAAAAACTATCGTTTATCTCAATTTTTTTGAAAAAACTCAACGAGAACAGTTATTCGAAACAATCAGGGCTTTGTCTTGTTGTACGATCAGTCTTCTTTATTTTAACTCCACAGTCAATTCCAAGTATATTCAATGATAAATTAGTCTGAGAAAAAATGGTGGTTTAAAAAAAGCCAATCGGGCTGATTTGGGACAATCAACGGAGAGTTATATCGTGCTATTAAGGTATAAGCGGCCATTTAAACCGCTCATAAATCAATCCACATTTGATTAGGCAAATTATTTGGTGTTAATAGTAAGTTTTTTGATGTTTAACATCTAATTATGAATGACATAGCTTGTGGGATAGCTTGTGTGAATGACATAGCTTGTGTCTTCAAAAAAAATGGGGAAAAAATAAAAATTTTTCTTTTTCATTCAAAAAGTTTCATCAATTTTCTCTATTGATTTTTAAAAAAACAACTTCATGAATTTCAAAGCTTTTCGCAGATATTAGCAGACTTGTTGAAGTTTGTTTGTTCCGACTTTCAAAAAAGGGGAAGAGTATTTAAGCTCGGTGTTTTTTTCTCCAAATAAATTTCGACGTGTTCAATAGCAGTTTAGGACGCTTTTTATTCTCTTTCAAAAGGCTAGGTTGTCCTGAAAAATTAATGATGAAAAAAATACTCAGTTTTGATCCTGCTTTCTAAAAAAATGGTGGTTTGTTACTTTGGCCAATTTGAGAAATAATTGCTATAGTTTACGTGCTACTAACGCGTAAGTGAATATATATCTAATTCATCTACGAAAACATTTCAAATTGAATCAAGTCATCATATTATGTTTCTCTAAATTTTTGCTATATGCAAAACATATCAGTTTGTACTTAACATAGTGTGTGGGGTGATAATTTTGAGAGAAAAAGCTAACAATTTTTTTTTTTGAAGTATTACATTAATTGATAATTTCATCTATTTGTTTATGCAACCATTCTGTAGACCTTATTTTACAGTCAGATAATTCAGAGCTTCTCACCGATACGATCAACCTTGTTTGCTAAATGTTTTCTCCACTGATTTTTTACTCAAATATTTGCGATGCAACGTCTTCTAGACTTCTGCACAGCTCTGGATGGAACTTTAAGGACTCTCTTCGCTTTTCTGATGAAAATATATTCTCGTTGATGAAATAAATCCACAGAATATACAGATTTATCGTTTGAGACTTTTGGTTTGGGTTTTTTTTCGAATTAGTTTGAGAAACTCCAAGACCAAAAACAATACACTTGAATATCTTGCTCAGTGTCTGCATCTTTTGTGGTTTATATGCCATAAAAAATTTTCAGAGCCGTTTGGCTCATTTTTTTTCCTCCCGGTTTCTGTAGTACATTTTTCTGGACTTCAATATAAACTTTGATTTCCATTTGTGATTGATTCGACTGGTAGTGTTTCTGCCAGTTAATCTTGTTTAAAAAATCAATTATGTATTTAACGTTATTATGACCATTTGAATAATGGCTCTACTGATGACACTGTTACGCGGAGTTTTAGCCTTTGTTGCTAGCCGGATTTTTTTGTTGTTGATCGACTGCTTCATGTTGATCTGACTGATATAAAACTCTGAATTCCCGTTTCTGTAAAATATTCCAGTTTTGCCAAGTTGATTGCATCAATAAATTTTAAGTCAAAGCTCGGCAACTTATATCATGAACGGTTTTTTCCTCAGGTGCCCCAATCGCAAAGACGCCATCAAATTTTGAGGCTTAAGATCTGCTGTTCGAATACTTTTCCTACTTGACTGATATCCTTATGGATGCAGGTGTAGATGCTACAGAATGTTCGAAACGGAAACGAACACGCTACACATCTACACCTGCTTTTTGCTAGTTACTCAAAAGCCATTTAGATGGCAGGTGTAGATGATTTTACAGCATGTTTGTTAAAGATTGCATAATTTATAAATGTGATGCTATCTCAAAAAATTTTGGTTTTGAATTCATGGATCAATTTCAGAAAACTATTTAAATTATTTGAAATTAATAATATATTTATGAACGTTTATGATATCCCCTCTTTATGTGCAGATAAACTCTAAAATTTTACCAAAATAATTTTCTTGCCATTCATAGCATGGGGGAAATTTTGGAATTTGGATGGATCAAGTTTATCTTTCTTCGTTTTGTTCTTCTTCAAAACGAAGGTTTTTGCAGCAATAATGGAGTGGAAAACGAAGTTCAATTATTTCAAAGCTTACAAGAAGGTATCCCTAAATATTCTCCTCCGTTAGACATGGAAGACAGTTCTGTCTATCTCTTCACGGATTTAATGCAAATTTTGAGCCTCGATGAAAAAAAGGGTGCTTGGGAGATCAAAATATGGATCTACGCTAACTACATCAGCGAGAGCGCGTCATGGAATTCAACTGCGGATTCGGAAGATTTGCCCAACTACTTAGTAATACCGCAAGGTACATTCTGGAAACCTGAAATAGGTTAGAAAAAGTTTTTTTCTCTAAACATAACTCAGTAAAAAAAACAATTGTTTTCGATGTTCACATAGCAAAACCTAGACATGTCGTAAAATAGACACATCATAAACCAATACGAAGCGAAACAAAAAAACTACTGTACGCCAGAACAAAAAAAAATTCCATTTTTGAGTCTGATTGGCCTACGGCGTAAAAAAAAGCACAAACAAAGTCTATTTAGTATTATGAGCAGATAATTTTTCCGGTCCCAATTAAATAGTCGCCAAAATTGAATCTTTTATGAAAAGGATCCTCCCCCATCATATAGTTTTTGTATTTTGAGGGCTTTAACTTGATCGGTGACTACCATGGCAATATGAGACATTTTTTCTCGGCCATGAGATTATCCAGCTCTATGACGCGCCACCATGCATTAATTTTTTTCAAATTTTATTTCAACTATTGTGATTGAACAATTTTTTACACAATTATGGCAGACAAGCTAAAATTTAATTTTCATTCAAAATAGGAAACATGACTTGGAAACATTTAAGTCATAACTTGTTTGGAAATTTTTGCATTTATAGTGGTGAATGAAATCATTGAAGTTGTGTATGACGGAATGAATCAACAATTTATCTTTCAAGATGGAAAAGTGCTTGCGTGGAGTACTTTTGCTACTCTAAAACTATCATGCCTTTTTGATGCATCCAACTTTCCCTACGACAAACAGACTTGCTCTTTTGTGATTGCGCCTTTCATTACTTCTCATTGGCAGTTTAACTTACGTAAGTTTATTATTTAAAAAATGGTTTCATGGCAGTATTTAGAGAACCTCATACTCAAACTCGTCAGTATGCAGACAAATGCTATAAAAATTAATCAAAAAAGAGACAAGAAAATTATAATAATTAACAATTATTTATTTTTTTGTAATTTGCTTTCTCATCTTGATTCTGGATGATTAATATGTTATTTGTCTGCAAACTGGCGAGTTTAAATACGCGGTTGTCTGAATACAAACCGCACTGTCAAAAACCAAAATTGCTGGTTATAAAGCAACGAGCAATGAACATACAATTTTTTTCATATCAGTTCAGCAGCATGCAAATCAACCTGATTGTCGAAGTAAAAAGATTAATTCAGTTTAACAAATTTAGCACATAGCTATGAAATACATGATATTGAGTCGATTTGTCTACATAACCTAGTCAATATATACGGGAATTGCATCCAGCCGAATTGTATATTTAAAAATTTTACTTTGTCTAAATATTTGGAGTGTACGTAATCTTACAAATCACTTTTGTTATTTGGGTCTTACGAGGAAATTGATGGAATGTTTTTGCTCGGGTTAGTTATTTTCTCCAGACAGTTTTTTGTCTTTTTAACTGGCAACTTTGGACAGAAATTTTATATCAGCCAAAAGGTATTGTTGCCTTGAGATCAAATATAAAACAAAAATTTCTTGTTTCATAAATCTGCGATTACTTTTCGTAAAGTTTTGGGGGCTTAAAGCTTGGCAATTTGGCCAAACTGAGACAATATATTTCGCGCTATTAACGCGTGAGCAGAGATTTAATCCGTCATAGATATCATTCCAAATGGGTAGAAGCATACTATTTGTCATCATTTATATGTTACTAGGAGCAAAAAAAAAACACTTTTTATTTTAAATGGCGTGTAGAAGGATAATAAAAAAAACCTCCAAAATCTTTTTTTCAGAATGATGTGTTTTTTTTTTAATCTAACACTACTCTATAGGCCTGAAAAGCTGTCTGGTTGCTTATTCCATGACTTTTGAGCGTATTCCTGTCTTTGTATTTTTTTTCTAAACTGGTTAAAATTCTGGAGCGTAATTGAAAAATCTTAAGTTGTTTACTAAACATTTTTCAATTTAGGCCACTTCGGCTTAATTATAATTTGGACAAAAGTTGTGATTAACTCATTTTGAGTTGCTACTAAAATTTGATTGGCTATTTTCAGACCATCAGACTAAATCAAAATAGCTTCAGCTCAAGATGTTAAAATGTTTGTTTCTGTGCGGTATAAGTAACAAGACCCGTTGTTTTCAATCGGATATGTTCGTTCTGAGTTCTGATTGGTTAATTAGAAATTCATGCTACTGGATTGGTATAAAAAACAAGTAGTATGCTACAATGCTGATTTAAATTATCGGGACAAAACAAAGAAAACTTGATTTTTCAAACGCATTTTTCTCAATTTAGGTTAAGGTTAGACAAAAAGTGAAGAGAACAAAAAATGCTTAGAGTTTCACCAGAATCAATGGGTCATTTTGGCCTTTTCAATTAATCAAAAATTACGCTGAAACTATTTTGTTAATTGATGAGGAATATATATCCTAAGAAGCCTTTTACACAATTCCACAAAGTTCTAGAAGTGTTTAATATCCAAAAAACATGTATAAGAGAAAATATTTCTGCTTGATAGTCAAGAAATGTGATTTTTACTATATAAAATCTAAAATCTTTGCTTAAAAACAAACTTTAAACAATTTACTAAGAATTTTGGATTTTTCCGGAACTTTGTTGGCCTCTGTAAGAGGCTTCTTGTGATTTATATTTCTCATCAATCAACAAAGTAGCTTCAGCGTAATTTTTGCTTAATTGAAAAAAGCCAAAATGACCCATTTTGAGGTAACCATTTGGTTGAGAATTTCGGAGAAAAAATTGCACCATATTAATTCTGATGAGTTTCTAAGCAATTTTTGTGCTCTTCACTTTTTGTCTTAGCTTAACTCAAATTGAGAATAAGGCGTTTGGAAATTCAAGTTTTGTTCATTTTGTCCGGATAATTTAAATCAGTACTGTATTAGGCCGCACTAGAAAATTGTTGCAGATGTTCAAAAATAGCATAATATGAGTTCTTCGTGCCTGCTCCAAATTGAGCAAAAGTATGTGCAATTTCTAAGTCGGAAATTGAAATAAATTGTTTGTTTGGAAAAATCTTTAAACCTAAAATACCAGGAAAGAAGATTTAACTTCTTGCCATTGATTGATTGGACAAATTATGTGTCCATCAGCTGTGATACTTTACATGCAAGGCTAACCGAATCAATTATTCAGCTCACAGTTGAAATAAATTTTAGTTTACGACAAAGTTTTCGACCCAGCAACCATAGGTTTTGTCTAAACGCGCCTTCTGTAACCAAAAACTAAAATTTTGAGCGATGATGCGATGGAAAACGAAATTTACTAAAAAAGCTCCAACTTTCAAAATTAGGCTGTTTTATTTTTCAAAATGAGAGCGGTACAGAAATTTTGGCAAAAAAATTTCTCACAAAAGCCCATTTAACCTGCTTTAAAAATTGTTCAACAAAACTTACAACAAACCAAAAGTTATACAAAAGTCTTCAACTCCCTTCCCTATGTTTCGATGTTTTTTTAGAAATTGAAGAGGCTAACATGGTGAAAGATGGGCCCAACCTTTTGCTGCCGCTTCAATATTACAAAGAGAACGACCAGTGGGAACTCATTGGCAAGCCCAAAATAGATCTCGTACCAAAAATACCACAAAGATATCCCAATAGTAGTGAAATTGTTGTTACAATATCCATGCAGCGACGTCCAGAATTCTATAATGTTGCTCTGGTATTTCCCTTTGGTATAATATACCTGGTCTCGACTCTAACTTTTCTTATTCCAGTAGAATCGGGGGAGAAGATATCCTTTTCAGTCACTATTCTTCTGGCTCAGATGATTTTTTACGGGACACTACTGAGTATTCTGCCAGCCAGTTCTCTTCACGTTGCGAATGCATTCCCGCAGATGGTTTTCGTCTTTGCCCACTTGTCACTTAACTGTTTGGCTTCAGTCATAGGTACTCTTTTCAGAGAGGGGGAGCAGGCATGCTTTTTTCAAAAAATTGTCGGCGGTTCAAAAATTTTCATAGCCGAAAAGCTAAAATCTGACCTTTTCTCTAGAAGTACATTTTTTTCTCTCTTACTACTTTCAAGTAAAAGGTGACTTTCTGCAGGAAACTTGACAATTTTTTTTAAATTGAATTACTTTAAGTGAATTGTTTTTCAACAAATTAAATTTGTGTTTCAAAAAAAATCGTTACGCTTCAATCATTGAACTGATCTCAATCAAATTTTATAAATAGTTTCACTAAATTATAAACGTTTCTAATTAGTCCGAAACATTTTTCCAATCTCTCGGCTAAATGATTTTAGTTGTGAGTGTCCACCACAAAGGAAAACCTGGAAGCAAAGTATGGTTGTGGGTATCCAAGCTGCTTCATAACAGACTCCTCTACATCTTCTGTCTTAGTCCAATTAGAGCTGAAAGACGAGATCAATACTCGGAAACTTCGGTGATAAAAGATGTTCAAAACACAAACACTACAGATTTACAGGACTCTCTGAACGACTCCCCAATAGTCGAGCCGCAACAAAAGGTCACTAATCAAACGGAATACAGCTTAGATGCATCAATGGAGTGGGAATATTTTGCAATATTTCTCGATCGGTTGTTCTTGGCTGTACATGTAGTCATTTGGATTCAGGGGAGTTTCAGTATAATTAACTTTTAGTAGGAAAAGCAAAATGAGGGCGAGCGTGAGAGCGCGAGAAAATCGTCGATACTTTTCGAAAAAATATATTTATCATATTTAACATTTGGAAAAAAATCATAATCAACGAAAAAATTTCCAGGCAAAACTTCAAGGGGCATGTTTTTTTGATAAGAACCAAATTATCCGATTTTTTTCTGCCGTCTGTTATCAAAAATTAGCTGAACATTATAACCTTGTAAATAACTTTTCGGCACAAATAATCGATGCAGAGGATATCCAAATATTGGATTCAGATGAAAAATAAAAACGAAGGTATGTGAAATGAAAACGAGACTAAAAACGGTTTCCAAACTAATAGCACAGATATTTAGAAATGGTACTTTCTAAAAAGTTTTGGCTTTTCCGTTTTGTTTTGCGAGGAAGAAATTTATATATTTAAATACGCGTGTGTTTGTGATTATGTGTGAGAGGGAAGAGAACTACCTCTTTGATCAACTTTTTGCTTCTTTGCTCAAATTTGATTTAATAAGTAAAAGTTTAGACAAAATTTTTCAACAACTGGAATAATTTTTTTCGTTGCGAAAGGTTTTCAAGGTGATAGATTAATTGACTTTCATGGGACTTTTGTTTGTGACACCTGAACTTGTGATGAAAAAACACAAAAGAATTACAAAAGAAATACAAAAGAAACTAAGAGTGCGGATGAAATACATCTGTTCAAAATATTTTTTATTAAACAAACTTACATATCTGTCAAAATTTTTAAATTACTTCAAAATAAGAATGTCTCGAAATAAAAAACTGAAAGCATTTCATTGGCAAAAATTTCTGATTCTAATGCCTAATTGCTTCTGATTCTAATGCCTGTTTTCTTTTGACGCATCGGCAGGGGCGGATCTAGGATTTTCTCAAGGGGGGGGGGGGGGGGCGGATTTTCGGATTTTCAAAAAAAATTCGAAAATTTTGTCGACCTTTTTTTTAGATCAACCGAATTGATTTTTCGAGCTCTCCCTAGGCACGGTTTAGTCCCTGTTTTGGCCAAATTTTCTGCGGCGCAGGCAAAGTTTTGAAAAAACAGTCCAAAAAAGGCGTTTTTATGCACTTTTTGGAAAATTTGACAAAAAAATTGCGTTTTTTCGGCGCGCGCGCCCCCCTCAAAATTAGTATATACTGGCGGCCAAAGGCGCCTTTAAAAATTTTTAGGGTCGGTCGGCCAAAAATGGATTTCTTAAAAAGTACCAAAGGGGGGACCCTTTGGGTCGGCAGAGGGTCGAATCCCTGAGGGGGGGGGGGAGTATAGTCGTCCGCCATCCCCCCCCCCCCTAAATCCGCCCCTGCGCATCGGTGTATAATTAAAAGGCTGAGGTTTTCTTCAAGATTGAATTTAATCCATTAATGCTGCAGCTAATTAGTACTGCACAATAACTCAGAAAAATATCATTGGACGCGTGGAATCGCAGTCCTAGCCTACTGAGCTTGACCTTGATGCAGTAGTTTTGTTCTACTTATGATTTCTCTTTTTTAAGGCTCTATCATAACTCATGCTTAGATAATTTGATTTCTTGATAAATTAGCTAAACTGATTTCTTACTCGTAGTTTTTAAATTACATAAATACGATTTCGACGTTCCAAATGTGTTCGATATTTTGATACTTTTTAGTACGCTTAATGTAAAGCTTTTGCAAAGTCAGTTAATTTTTTACATTCAAATTGAAATTCATATTAATAAAGGGGTTCTACTATGGCACCAAAAAGAATTATGTTTATATGGCATTGTCATGAACTTGTAATTGACATCAATTTTTGAATTGTTTTGCAATATCAAAATGCTTTTGAAATAAAAATGTTCCTGATGGCTTCTCTCATTCGGTTAATTTTTTGTCATGTGTGAAGTACGTTTCAATCACGAACCAATCCAGAGTTTTTTGCTGATAATTTAACAAAATCTGCTATTTTTGTGAAAATACTGCTAAAAATTTATCAAAATCGATAATTGGTTTTAAAAAATTACTGACTTGATATTTACGCCTTTCGACAGCACTTTATGTACTGTAATCTGCATGGTAAATTTGAATGAAAAGTCTATTTGTCCAATATTGAGTTTTATATTACAAGTAAAGCTAAAGATCAATATTTATACAATATTTAGGCTGCCGCCTATGCTCTCGTATCACCTGCTCTTCATGTCTTGCTTGTTTTATGTATCATATCAGCATAGCAGTTTAGAACAGTTTACTTTTTTGATGCTGTCGTAACATTTACTGATGACAAATTGAATGTATTTTCTCTTTACCTTCTCTTTTTCCCACAGAGCGTCAAACTAAACAATTAGGTGTTGTATCACATTAAATAGAAATTTGATTTGACTCAAAAGAACTAGCCATTTCAGATGTGGGTTATCCAAAAAATTAGACCAACACCCTCAGATAAAATTAACTATTGCATACCATAACTCAAACGAATAAACAAGTCCTCGTAATCACCATGAGGCCCACCATGATCCGTGCTCGTTGCTTGAGGGTGAAGCAACATTACCCAGCCCAAAAAATAACCAAAAAAATAGCATGTAGTTCTTAAACAAGGGCACAACAGCGGTTCGCCGTGATGAGCTGTACAGCTCTTGTGTTGGTCCTTTCTCCCGTGGATAAATGGTCTTAAATCAATCCAATTCAAAAATTTTACAACAATTGTTAACCGATTCAAACGTTGAGCTCCTCATTGAATAAACATCATATCAAAAATATATCATTCCAGTAACAAAAACATTAGATAAATTTAACTTTCAAAAACAATGCTGTTTTACTAAGCGCTCATTGCTGGTTGAATGCTTAGTAATTTTATCCTAAATTATAAGTCTCACCTTAGATCGTCAAATTGTCTTGACAAAAAGTAGAGTAGAAACAATAGTTAGAAAAGGTATGAATTAATTAGTTGGTTAGATACAAAGCACTGGGTTATTAGATTATATAAACGAATCGAACAGCTTAGAGAAATATACCTATGAGGGGAGGTTGAGCTAATCTTATTTTGTTCATCAATATTTTATCTTCTTACTAAGGTCGATGGCTGATTAGTATGAATGGGTCGCCCTTGGTTGTGTCCACTTCGGCACTTCTGGTTTGGTCGTCAGTATCGTCTTTGCCGTAGTCCTTTGGGTACTTGTAGTCCAGACTTCCTCAGGTGTGGGTGTCTCGAGTATCTCGATTTATAATTTTATCGAACTTTAAATGAGAATTTATTCTCTATTTTATTTGTGAAAAAAGGCTAGTTTAATTTTATTGTAAAGGCCGAAAAGAAAAATTATTTATTTTGAAAAGGTCTGACTGAAGAGATCTAACTTGCTGCTTACTGAGCAAAATGAAACACTGAAGATTTCACGCCAGTCCTTTTGCTCGTAAGCATAAACCGGCGGCTGATTCAATCTTTAATTATTCAGGTTTCACCTGCTCCTTTGTTCTCCCTTTCTAATTAGGGAATTTTCAACTAGTTTTTATTTGATTTTTTCCAAATCAAATATCTTTAACTTATTAGTCCCCTTTGATAAAAACCGCAGCCTTCAGTTTGTCTGATTAAAAATTCATATTACTCTCTCTGATGCATCATATTGCAGGTGCATCTCTGCTTAATCAAAGCAAGGAGAATTTCAGTGCAGCCGGCAAGACTGCTAAATATTTATCCAGTTTGTTTCAAGTTAAGTTAAAAGGGACGTATTAATAATCGCCGCCCTTTTAAAATATTGAGCATGAAAAAATGAGAAAAATTGGACAAGTATTTAAAAAGGAGTGGATTTTCAAAACAAGATTTTATAGTCCTAATAAGAGTAAATCAGTTTTAGTGAAAAGAGGCTTTAATTTAAATGGCACGCTCCAATTTAGAATTGGGTCGTTAAATAAACAATTAAGACAATGGTCTTTTGTGTGTGTAGTATTTCGCAATACTACAACTCACCCCTTTTTTTAGAAAATTAAGCTGTTCGATTCTTACAGTTACCATGGTGAAAATTTAAACACTTTAATGGTTAAATACTATAGTTATAAAATTTAAAGAGAACATCAAACGAAAAAGTTATAAAGATAAGTTAGGTTTTATCTAGAGCTTCCTTCCGGATTCAAGCTCCACGTTGTATGATCTGAGGATCGCTATCTTCCTCTGTGAAGCCTCAAGTTTTTGTTGCAACTTCACGATTTTCTTCTTTTTAATTTTGTTTTTGATTCGTAGTCTGCTCATTCCGTCCGTAAGTTCTTGAATGTCATCTTGTTCTTCCTGTTTGTTTTTTACATGTTTCGGAAAAGCAGTTATTCCCTCAAACGGGATGGTGACTTGCGTGCCTCCTGCCTTGAGGATGTAGCCGTGTTCCTCCCTCTTCTTTAATTTCCAGAAGTTGATTTCGTTCTTTATAACCCCTTCTGGCTGGGTTATGAAGTCGATAGGCATCATCGCCTTTTCCATTGTCGTTGAGTTAACGGCTTCAATGAACGATGGCAGTTTCCATCTGTTAAAATTTTCCTTTATTGAGTACTTTAAACTCGTTATATATTTTGGATTTTCCGTATCCAATTTGGTTTCTCTGCACTTCTGCAGCTCCAATCTTTGGGTTAAACTGGGAAAGTTGCGAGGGTTCTTATTTAACCCGTCGTCTATTGACAAAGATTGAACTGCTAGAGGTTTCCGTTGTTTCTTCCTGAGGGGCAGCTTTCTTTTGAACTCCTCTGGTGCTGGGTCTGCGTTTCTGCAATTCCAGTTTAAAATTGGGTCGTATTCCATTTTGCTAAGCATCAATATAAAATGACCAAATGTTCAAAATCCCAAATTACATTCGGATATTAAGGCTAATTATCAAATGTTTGAACGATGAAGGACAAAGTGTAAAATTGTATATATATATATAAGGTGGAAAATATAATCTTGTGGTTTCACACAAACCCACCACGGAAAACAAATGAAGAAAGACGATCATGGTGTTTATTAACCACAGGAATACAAATCAAGAAAGACGATCATGGTGTTTATTAACCACAGGAATAAAGCATTTTCCGACACTGAGTTAAGCTCAGATATTAAACTTATGTAGTTAAAGCAAAAATGGAAATTTGGGCGTTAATTAACCCCTAATCTTAAATGTATGTCAACCTGTTTGTCATAACCAGCAATTTTTGTTACATTTTTTGATAGAAAATAGAAAAGATTTGAATTAGAATCAAATCAAAATGAAATATCGTAGAAAAGGAAAATTAAACAGACAATTTGCAAACTGTATAATTTTCAAAAAGATAAGTTTTTTAGTTTCTCTTTGGTTTTAATCCTCTGCATCAGTCCATGTTCACATCTTTAGTACAGAAAGTCATCCTGAACTTTATGATGCAAAAATTTAACGTAAACAATCTTAAGGATGATGCGGTCCAAATTTTAAAATGTTGCTTCTGAAAATTTGTTGTTTTTAAGGGTTTAAATGCCTGCATGTTGTGGATTTTGAACTACCGAATTGATATTTTGGCCAAATTGTGAGGAGCGAATCATAGGAGTCTCAAAGGCTGCATACAGCCACCAACAAGCATTTGCGTTGTTGAAAGAATATGGTACCATAATTTTAAAAAGGCTACATGAAGCCACCGACAAATGCTGGCATAAATCTGCGGCGGGTCGGGTCGAAAAACATTGTTCGCCCATTTTATGATAAAGAATATTGGTGAAAATTTTACTCAATGTGTTGAGAAGAAAGGAGGCGAGATTTCCCTTTTTGATGAATTTCTTCTAGTTTGCATTTTGTAACTTGAAAACTACAAAGATAAAAATTAATGTCATCGGTCCCTACTTGGGCCCTAAGATGAAACCGATGATGCAAATTAACTTCGCAGAATGAGTTTGTTACAATTTTACATTGGCTAGTTCTTTCAT